GATGTTGCCTCCATGTTGATTCTGGAGAGGTTTCTAGTTGAACAAGGAAGATATAAAGATTTCATGGTATAAAAGTTTCAAAATAAAAGTGACATCCCAGACACTATAGTTTCTAATGGTATTCAGACAATTCAGTTGAAGAAGCCCCATTCCAAACATGAAATTTATCTTTTAAGTATGCATAAGGATTTTATTACCTTCTAAAACCATGTATTGCAAGAGTTTAATTAGAAATCTATGGTAAGAGGGTTTATCCTTTTTTTTTTAACACAAAATATTAAACAAATTCAGAATTGCATGTATCTCTAAAGAAAAACTCAAAGTTGCTAAAATTGTGGATTATCTCAAGCTTCACGTAGTCTTGTGTTACAGATACTTACTTGCTCTAGATAAAGTATAAACCCATTAGGTTTTAATATTTTTCCCAATACAAAAATAATTAGATAATAAATCAGAAGGACTAGCTTAGTCAAGTCAAGGAAAATCCAATTAAAGTGGATTATTTTTGATGGAATATTTTGAGAATCACAGAAATCATAATGGGAAATGAAATAAGTCTTAAGTTTAGAATATTTTAAAATTTGGTTACTGTGAAAAAGACCGCGGATGTATGTGATCCTCCTACTTAGAACACATGTGCTGTGTTAACTGAATGTTATTACTGCTTAGTCAAATAAAATAACAAAGTTCTTTTTCTAGAAAAGCATTGAAATGATATATGAATTATTGAGTTTATTAGAGTGTTCTAAAGATGAACAGAACAAAAGAGTCATCATGTTCCATTATGTAAATACAAGTAAAAACATCACAAAAAAGTTAAGCCACAAATATTCTGCTTACACAAGGTAATAAGAAATTTCTAAAATCAATTTAGAAAAAATATGCTTTGTTAAAAAGAAACTTATTCAGTATAAGTAAGAAATTACTGAGAAGCATAACTTGTAAAGTAAGGAAAAATAATCTGCAATAGTAAATATCTACCTACAACCTTTTTTGAGAATAATTTATGTACTCAACTAAGCGTACCTAAAGCACATATTGCAACAATCAATTTATTTAAAAATATTATTATCAATACTACCAAATAAAGTATATTTTTCCCTTCACTTTAAATATAGTGTGACTAACCTCAAACATGTATTTGTGCTATTTTCATGAGAAGTATTGAAATTTGCAGTGATTTTTAGTCAGTGTCATTTATGATCAATGTTATTCATTTTCACAATTAGCTGATTTCTTAATCCAATGTATAATGGATGGCTTCTTAAGTTGAAAGTGTTTTATGAGGTATGGACCTATTATGACATGACCTAGTGGTAAGAAGTTGTGCTGCAATTCCAAAGGCACTTATATCCACCAGCTGTACCAGGGGAGAAGGATGGGCAATCTCCTCCCAGGCAGTTAACTGCCTTTGAAAACCCACTGTAGGGTCAGCTATGAGTGACTCTCAACAACTATGTATTGTCATCAAATTGGAACTGACTCCTAGCTTACCTTCCCATCAGGTTTCTGAGACTGTAATTTGCTTGAGAAGAGATTGCTCATCTTTCTCCCATGGAGCTACTTGTGGATGAACCACCGAAGAGATGTGTCTTTCTTTTTAGCAACACAACTTTCCCTGGACTATGCCCCTAGAATTCTCTCATCATATCACTATCACACTTCATTTAACCAGTGGAACTAGGTTGCCCAGATAGAACAATTTCATGATTTTGTTAATTGAAAATAGAGTTTTTCTTTATTATAATTCATCACAAACATGAACTATTTTCATTTACTTGTACACTCACCTATCTCAACAAGTGTAACTCTTGGCACATATTACATGTGTTACATTTGCTTTTCTCTTTCCTCCTCTACAGCCACCAGCCAAACTTTCTACAACCAGCAAGAACCCTAGCCTCTGAAATCTTGGTCTCTCCCCTTCCATTCCAAAAAGGATCATGAGCATAATTTTCCTCAAATTCTTCAACACAGAAGTCTTGAGAACAAAATTATCTTTTTCCTTATCTATTTAAAAAATATTTGATTGCCTGGAATATCAAATAAAACCTTTTTATGCTAAGAGTTAATAATCTCTCTTCAACTGACTCTTATTATTTTCGTGTTTTCATTATTTCTTGCTCTTTGGCACGCTAGCTGTGATTCTTTTATGCCATCTGGTTGTTATTAACACGCAGCATTTGCTTCTACTGCTTTCCTGCCTATGCAGATGTCAGCCCTTCAGTCATGGAAATCCCACTGCTTCCTGAGACAGCTTTTCCACCCTTGGAATAGATAGGTCAGTTAGAGAGCTTTTTACACATATTCTAGTAATTTCTGTATTATATGTGTGTGATCTGTCTACCATGATCCTTTCTTTAACCTCTAAGGAAGGAACTTTCTATGTGGCCTTCCCACATTTCCCTCACTTCATCTACCCCCCAATTCTCCAGAACCTTCGAGGTGAGACCTCACTTAGGACACGTTATTGCATATCATCAAGATAATGCTGCCTCATAACAACCCTGTAGAACACTCATAGGGTTTTTTAGGTTGTAATATCCATGGGAGCAGATCCCCAGGTCTTTACTCTCACAGAACATCTGGGTGAGTTTGAACTTTTTGCTTAAAAGTCAAGAACTTAACCATTGTGTCTCCAGACCTTAGTTTATGATACATATTTCATGACTAAACTACCTTCTATCCATACCACTATTTACATTTGAAAATATTTTCATAAGATTTAGTAATCAAAGGATAATAAGATCTCTACCTAGGAAATAATTCTAGGAAGTGTAATTGGAATGATTGAATGCAAGCTTCTTCATGTGTATAATTACCTACATAGCACAGCAAGATGTCTCAAACATTACAATTGATTAACTAAGAAAATGGCACTGTGTTATAGCTGACTGTGGCTAACTGAGAAAATACTACATGTTGTAAATCCATCCAGACTTTCAATAGGATTTATAAATGCATCATGTACTATTATTTTGTAGACCTTAGGAAAAATTGGCTTGTTTAGTCCTACATTTGCAATTTCAGTTAAGGAAGAGTATTGATAATGTTGTCTACATTTCCCAATACAAATATGAGAGCATATGTAGGCATTGTCTATCCAAAAAAAAAGACACATGCGTAGCCTCACCTTTTAGTATTGTCTTGAGATTTTTAACATCTCCAAAAGGCTTTGCATTTTGAATGAGTTAAAAAATTGTGTTTCCATAACAATTTTAATTGTGCCTCTAGTGGTATTTTAATCATTAAATACAGTTACAACATGTAATTAAATTTCAATCGGAACCTTTAACACTATACAGTCATCTGAGAAGAGACACTTAGAAAAGCATTGTGTCTCTATGGCATTTCTTCCTGGCCACCTGCTAACCCACCTGAGACACTAAAGCCAACGATTGTGACTGAGTTGGAAGCCGTGGTTGTTTTCCATGTGTTCCACAGATTGCGGAAAATACTCTTTAAGAGCAACTAAAAAGGATCATAATTAGTTGTTACCTGGAGGTTTATTTCTATATAAAGATAGACATAATAATTAACGAACTTTTCAGAAAGGCAGTTACTTCTTTTGGGGCCAAGATGTACTAACTCAGTTATGGTATGGATGACTCCTCAAGATTAAAAGGTTACTTCATGGCTGCATAATATCCTGAAGTTCTGGAGAATGGCTCTCCAGATCTGCAGATATGCTGGGGAGGGGGTTTAGCCACAGCCCACCTTACTCTATTATGATGTTTTCCAGGTTCTGAATTCCGAGAGGTGAATTTTTTTTCAGGTCTTATTATTACTAGATTTCTTTAAAGCCTACTTTTGTGTCTGTCCATTAATCATCTATGTAATTTTAGAAGGCAAAATGCACGAGGCTCAGAGCTAATTATGCATTCAAGTATGCCTTGAGATATCTAGATGAAAATCATGTTCCAACATTCATCCCTTCCCTAAAACTCATTTCCACAAGAGATGATTTAATGATCTATTTACTTTAAAAGTTTGCCATTGGGGACAATGATTATCCTGGTTAGCTCCACTTGAAAGAATAGGTTTCCCCTTTATGGAATTTAAAATCGTTTAGAAAAATCATTGTGACCTTTGAAAATATATTTAATACAAAATGTGCTGAAACTCAGGCTTTGCTATCCCTAGGTAGTTAATTGTCATTATGTACTACCAAGTTGGAACTGACTCATAGGGACCCTCCAATGGGTTTTCAGAGGCAGTAAATTGCAATAGAGTGAATTTTTCTCCTATATAGCATATGATGGATTTGAACCACAAGCATTTGGTGGATTTGAAAGACATGCATTTGGGTTGGCTGTGCAGTGTTTACCACTAAGCTACCAGAGCTCCCTATCCCTAGCTAGAGAAAGTCACTTTTATACCTACCCAAGTATACCAGAGCCACCACCATGTCAATTTTCAAGTACTTTTGTTCAAACATGGAGTAGAAAGAAATCAGTTGGAGAAGCAGTATATATGAAGGCAAACTGCCTCCCCCCCCCTTTTCATCTTCAAAGACACTATGTATATAAATAATGATAAAGATAAAACAGAAGTAAAATAAATTTTGTCTAATCAGTTTCTTTACACTAGAGGCCAATATATCATCTTATCTTGACTGCCACAGAGTGCAGACATTAGTCTCATAAATACCTATCAATTAGTTATCTCAGTCTTTCTTTGCTCTGAAATTTGATGGAAAGAGAATTTTTCATAAATATTATCTACAACTTTTAGGTAAAGACTTTTATATCTAATTGCAACAAAGAGGAAATACCTTACGTTTCCAACAACAGAGTGCAGTATTTAACAAGGAAATGTGCCTTTATGATTTCATATGTAATAATTTGTTAAACTGTGCCAAAGCTCTACAACTCTAAACTCTACATTAGTAATTTCAAAAAGCTCAAGTTACAAAAACCCCACATAACTACTTTAACCAATTTCTGAATTTAGTGAGAACAAAGGCAATGTGGGGCCCAGGTAGGGCCATCTGCCTCCATTTAGATGTCAGTATCCAACCCAGAGCCACATTTGCGACAGAAGATGTTCTTATTTTGAGTCAGGAAGCCTTCACCCACCAAGGAGATGGAGCATTTCTCACAGTTGAAGCACTCACAGTGCCACTGACGGTCTTGAAAGCAGATAAACTTAGCACCTCTGAGACCTAGAAAAAAATCAGAGAAAAAGAGTAATCGATTCTTTTAAGGAACAGATTGAGTATTCTGCTAGGCACTCTTCTCTCGCTAAAGACATAACAGTGAATAAGAAAGAGTGTAGGGGCAAGTAAGCAAACAACAGAATTGATCTCTTTGTCTCCACCCTGAGATTATCAGAGGCGAGTTCCTCCCATGCGTCTTAACCTCACTGCCAGTGAAATTCCCTCATTCATCTACAATAGTTAAGACTCTGAATATAAAAACCACGTGGATTTGGAAATGGTGAGATTGTCTAAATATATAAGGAAACAGCATGTAGTATAATAGGAGGGGGGTATAATCTTTGGAGCCTCAGGTATCTATTTTTTTCCTTTCTATCTGTGTAACTTTCAGGTTTCTTAGCTCTTAAGTGAAGGTAAAATGAAATACATGTTCACTCACATTCGGGCTTGGTACTTTATACTCATAACAATTTTCAATTTCTTCTGTCTTTTACTGTTCAATTTTACTCAAGATAAAGCCCCACAATTATAGTTAGCATATATGTAATTGCCACATACTCCATTTGGGATATTGGTGCAAAAAAAAAGGGTAAATAGAAATCTGTTTTTGATAAACTCTCTTTTTGCTTCCACTCTAGAAATAGTACTTGATTTTATTATAGATAATTGATTAATCCATAGAGAACTTTGCATCAAATTCTTTTCTTTAACAAAAAACTTCATAATTTACTTCCCTGTGATGCTATCATCATTAGTTTCCAATAACTGTAAATCAATAGTGTTCCAATTAATTGCCTTGATGTCTGCAGAAATTATCCTCTATATCCACATAAATTATCTCTGCTCATAAAACTAATGATTATACATGCCAGGCATTTTAGTGTGAGTTTTCTTGATTTTATTAGTAAGCTTTGCACAAGTGGCAAATGTACTTAATTCTAGAATTTTGCAGAAAAGAGAAGAATATGATGGAAGGGATTTAAGAAAGCCCTGAGCCAACATGTAAGATGTTTGTGGATTGCTCCAATTTTGGTTATGCTTACTCTGTCAGACCATGAGGGTTATTTGCAGAACGAAAGTCATCCAGGAAACACATCTGTGGCACCTGTTTTATCTGGCTCCAATTCACTCTCAACAATTCAGAAGAACAAGGCCTAACATTTGTTGGGCACTTGACTATGTGCCAGACACTATTCTAAGTACTCTGCACATATTACCTCATTTAACCCTACTTCACCCTTATGGGTTAGATATTATCCTTATTCGATTTTGCTGACCAAAACTGAGAGACAGGAAGTTTCAACATCTTGCTGATAAGGTAAGGTCACTTTGCTGATAAGTGACGGAGCTGGGACTCTTATGCAGGCTCTTTTCCTCACCAAATTCAGCCTTAATTTATCATTCATATAGAACATAACTAGAAATGTTAGCATCTCTTTTAGAAGCCATAACAATTGAATCTCCTTTTCAATCTTTGAGTAGTTAGAGAGGGAAAAAAACCAACCCCACAAAGCCTAGGTTGTTATCATAATTAGCTCTTCATTTTATAAATAAGGGAAAACAGGGACTTCAGTGGCAAATCATATTTCCACAGCATACAGTAGTGAAAGCAAAAGCCTGTAGAAGGATTAAAACTCACTGCTATCAAAACGATTTCAACTCATAGGGGTTCTCCATCAGGTTTCTGAAGCTGTAAATCTTTATGGCAGGAGATGTTCCTCTTTTTCCCTTGTAGTGGCTGGTGGGTTCACACAGCCAACCTTTCAGTCAGGAATGCAACAAAAACCCCAACTACACCACCATGGCTCCTTATAGATAGATTAAGTTAAGATAAAATAATCATTTTAAAGCACCCTGATGTAGAAACTAGGAAGCTCTGGTGGTATAGTCCATAGGGAGTTACACTGCTAACCTAAAAGTGGTTTTTTTACTGGCAGTTCAAATCCATCATCTGCCCATTGAGAGAAAGATGCACTCTCTCTTCCTGTGAGGTTTACAATATCCAAAATCCAACTGGAAGTCAGTTATGAGTCACTTTCCATTCCGCAGCCACGACTTTGATGGGTTGTGAACTCAGCATGAGTTCAAATATAATGATGTATATTTGAACCATAGCACAGGACTAGGGTTGTTTTGTTCCATTATTCATGGAGTAGCCATGATTCCAGGCAACAAACAACAACATATAGATTGCTTCATAAGATGGCACATTGTTTGCCTGGCTGCCCATCTTTTAAAATATAAATATATATGACAGTGTCAGAATTCCTTATGGTACATTAGCTCAAATAGCTCAGTTTTAAAGAAGCATTACTGAAAGGCTGTTCTCTGTCTCACTCTCTGTCAAATTAGATCAATAAACTGTAAAATGAGTAAGAAGCATCTGAAATATTCCAGCCTAGTATCTCAATCACAGAACAAAAAGAATATTATGGACATTTTTTAGTTCTTCCCTCTCCCCACCTATTAATCTATACTAAAGATTGCATTTAGGTTCTTTAGGGTCAAATATTTTGTTCCTGATTGTCTTATGTTTTAATGCTAATCAATGTAATTTTGCTGACTGAACCAAAATAAAAAGCTAAGGTCAAAGAATTATCTGAAATAATATTAAAAACAAAACAAAAACGACCCAAACACATAGGCACATGAATTTGCAATGAGTCAAATTTAAATGAATCAAATTTGAACTCTCAGAGGCCCTTATCGAGCAGTATGAGCCATTTGGTCCTTTAGAGCTTTCAATCCCCATTTTAAGATGGTCAATTTTCTCATTTCCTCTCTGACGCCCCCCTTTTTTCATGGCCTAATTTGGGAAATGCATTGTGGAACACATTTGCTGAATAGAAAGAGCTGTGATTGCAGGTCCTACTAAGAGGATTTGGGAGCCCACATATTGTTAGATTTGTGGAAGCACCACTGGTAATGAAAATCAGTGGTGATGAGGGCTTGCTCTCTTGGCTGCAAGAGCCACCAGGTGTAGAAGGCAGGGGAGGAGAGGAGTGAAGACAGGTCTGCAGCTGGGGACAGCATGAGACTGATAATCAAGTCCTAGCTGCAACAAAGACAGGCAATAGCTGAACAGGGGAGCGGGTGGGGGGGAGGGAAGGTGTGAGGAATGGTGGAGAAGGCATGGCCCACACAATCCACAATCAGACAGTGCCTCAGTTCTCTTATTGTGGGGTTCCTGCAGGGAATGTGGAGGCACCTGCTCACCCAGGGATGACTTTTTATTTCAGTGTGGCTGCAAAGATGGAGACTAGTTATTTCCAAGTATGTTAAAATGGAACACATTTGCTGGCCAGATGTAGCCTGTGACCAGTCACTGATTCTGAAAAATATGATCCTCCTCTACGTGCAACAAGGACCCTACTGTGTTTGCCCACGTAACTCTTGTCCCCTCCCTTTGCAGCTTGGAGAAAGCCTGTCATATTACCCTGAACTTTTTTTACTCTTTTGTAAGATACATAAGGATTCCGTTTGCATTTTTTGATGCGTTTGAAGGTAGAAGAAGAACAAAGTGATAAAATAATCTTAATTCTGTTACATAAACTAAACTCATAAACTATTATCTAAAATACTAGGAGCAGGTGCAGCTCGAGTGCTTTTCGGAGGCAGGAATGATGAGGTTTCACTTCATATACTTTGGGCATATTTCTAGGAGGGGCTATTCCTTAGAGAAGACCATGATGCTGGGAACAGTAGAGAGTGGGTGAAGGAGAGGAAGACTTCCAACCAGGTGGATTGACATGGTTACTGCTGCAATGGGCACTTGTGTGTCAAGAAAAGTGAGGACGGTGCACGATAAACAGGGTTTAGATCTTTTGTTCATAGGATCACTGAGTTGTATTCGACAGCATCTAACAACAACAAAATACTAGGAATGGGGCTCGCAGTAGAGTTCTGTCACAATATAAAGTGACTATAAATTGCCTTATAAATGCTAAGGTTACAATATATAGTTCTTAGGGTCTCTATGAATCAGAGTCAACTCGATGGGACCTACCAACACCATAGATGCTTCAAAGAATAGCTGGTGTATTTGTCAGCTGTTACGCTAGCTTTAGTAACTTTAAGATTAGCATTTTAGAACAGTCTCTTGGGAAAACATAATGCTTTTTTTAAACATTGAAAACCTACTTAACATGGATCGATTTAGCATGTGTTATTTTCCAATCATTTCACATGTATTTTGTTTCTTTAGTAGAATGTTATCTTGTTTTCTTTCAGCTATTCGTAATTAAAATGCATTGGAAGTGAATAAAAAGAAAAGAGAATAATACATTTGTTAGAAGCATCTTAAAAAGAGGCTTAATTAATTCCTGACCTATGCTACTCTAATAATTAATTACAGCTTCAGACATTTTATGCAGGACTTACATTTAATTAAAGCCTTTTCTATTTTAAGGTTACTTGGTCTTTGCTCAGAATTAAACAGGATCCTGATTTATGATTGTTTCTTCCTCCCACTCAAATTCTTAAAAGTTCTACTTCACGTCAGGCTTCTTCGTTAGAGTCTCCTCTGGCCCTTAGAGCAGACCCGGTTCTCTGGCTTCTTTGAGTTAGTACTGTGTTTAGAATCAGTCGTGGTAAGAATCGCACTGCCAGCAAAAAGGTACATTCTTTAAATCCACAAGCTGCTCCATGGGAGAAAGATGAACAATCCTTTCCCTTGTGGTTAATCACTTCTGAAAACCCCCTGGGAGGTCAGCTATGAGTTGGCTCCGATTCGACAGCACCAAGAAATCAAACAGCCATGAGGTTTAGTACTTGCTTTTTGCAAGTATTGCAAGTACATGCTGCAGGTTGTGGTCAGGTTGGCCTGGACTCACAGCAGCCCCATGGACAGCAGAACCGAGTGCGGCTCAGTCCTCAGCTCTCTTTACAATCAGAGATATGCTTGCTTCTTGTCGCCGTGGTGCAGTAAGAGTGCATTTCAACAATGCTTGGGGCTCACCTCACCTCTTAGCTCTGTATCAGACAATATACTGTTATGGTCAGTAGAGTTCCTATTGACTAATTTTGATGAGCAGATTGTCAAGACTTTATTTCTAGTCTGGCTTTGCCTAGATGTTCTACTGAAATATGTCCAGAAGGGGTGACTCAGGCGGCATTTAAAATGTTGCTGGTAGAAACATACACATGCCTCCTAGAATGAAAAAACTGACAGACAAGTGGTGGCTACAAAATATAACTGCTGGAGTTACACTCTGAACTTTCCTTGATGAAATGTTTCCTTGATCTGTGTAATATTTTATTTATACTTGAGTCCACATGTGTTTGTCATAGAGGAAAACAAATAAAAGATGGTCCATTCTTTTTCTTGCATTTCCTAAATTAACTCTGTGCCATTTTGTGTGGTCTTAACTATCTCATGTTTTTTTTTCTATAATTATATTTTATTAATTTTCATAAACATTTACAGAGATTTTGGGCTTCCACTCATTCATTGTTGCACTATTCTCTCTACCCTCCTCCCAGTTTGTTCTTGTCCAAATGCCACAGTGCTTGTCAAAGCCAGTTCTGATTAATCTTCTTTGTCAGTGTGTCCTTTGCCATTCCCTATCACTCCTCCCTGAGAGAGACTTCACCCTGAGTCATAAGGAAAAGGGGATGGCATATTCTCTTAGCTACTTCCTGCTGAAAAGGGACACTGTGGGTTTCAGGGTGAAGATCTTCTCTCACTACTCTAAAGGGCCCCTTTGGCAGTAGGAAACACATAGACTATTATGGAGATTGATTTTGGAATTTAGATGCACTCTTATTGATTGTGCTTGGCCGTACATGTTCATATCCTTGAAGATGTATCATGGGGGTGTTGCAACCTAGAAGACACAAATTTGACTAACAAGTTATAAGTACATGAGTCCAAAAATTATGGAAAAGTAAAAGAAAAGATTCTTTCATTGTTTTACAAACCCTCCCCCAGGTCCCCTCCACCATGTAGCCCTCGCTCTAGTCTCCTGTGATGACAGAAATACCCAGTTATATCTCTCTTTTAAACGGTTCTCTCCCTCCTCTGTTTCAGTGCAGTATACATTATTGAACCCATCTTACTCAGTCTCTCCCCAACCCCAAGGACAGTCCCATTCTACAACAGTGGCATCATGTAATATTTGTCCTTTTGTGACTGGGATATTTCACTCAGCATAATGTTCTCCAGAGTCAACCATTTTGAATAATATTGCATGAGTTCCTTGTTTTTAAATGCAGCATAGTATTCCATTGTGCGAATATACCACAGCTTCTCTAGCCATTCGTTTGTTGATGGGCACTTAGGTTGTTTCCAACTCCTTGCTATTGTGAACAAAGCTGCAATAAACATGGGTGTGCATATATCTGCTTGGATGTCAGCTATGGTCTCTTCAGGGTATATTCCCAGTAGTGGAATTGCTGGGTCAAATGGTATCTCTATTTGCAACTTTTTGAGAAAGCGCCATACTGCTTTCCACAGGGGTTGCACCATTTTACACTCCCACCAACAGTGAATCAGGGTTCCAGTTTCTCCACAACCTCGCCAGCATTTGTTGCTTGCTGTTCTGTTAAATTTTGCTATTTTGACTGGGGTGAAATGATATCTCATAGTTGTTTTAATTTGCATCTCTCTTAGGGCTAGGGATTTTGAGCATTTCTTCATGTGTTTGTTAGCCATCTGAATGTCGTCTTCGGTGAAGTGCCCGTTCATATCTATCTCATGTTTTTGTTGTTGCTGTTGTTGTTAGTTGCCACCAAGTTAGCCTCTAACTCATGCCAACTTCATCTATAACAGAAAAAAACCTGTTTATGATTCACACAGGGTTTTCACCAGCAAATTTTCATCAATCATTGGGCCTTTCCCCCTAGTTTGTCTTAAGTCTAGAAGTGCCAAAGAAACTTGTTCAATATCACAGTAACATACAAATCTCCACGGATATGTGGGTGAGATGCTTATATGATGACATGCATGAAATGTATTGAGAATCAAACTTAGGTCACCTGCCCAAGTTTGTAAATGCAGGAGTTCTACCAATGAACCACTGATGTCTCTACCGTTTTGTGGTTGGACTGTATTAAATGAGGACAAACTCACCGGTAATTGGTTTGCTGCAGGCTGTGCACTTTCTGGCATACAGATGATTGTAGCAGTCCAAGCAGAATGGATCATCATCTCTGGACATAAAATCTTCTTTGCAGAGCTCTTTCCGACAGCCATTACACAGAAAGCACTCTTGATGCCATGGCTGGTTATGAAACATGATGCCCCCTGAAGTTATCACCTGCCAGAGGAGTACACACACAAACACACACAAAAGGTGATGACTGGGAGTCACTGTAATTCCTGATTCTCTTCTGTGTCCACAGGAATGGCTTTTGGCTACTTTATCCCCTGGAGGAGAGCACACTCTTCCTTTAAAAAGACTGTGGTCCTTTTAAATCAATGCGAGAAGTAAAGAAGCTAAAGGGTTAACACTGGGGAGAAATGAACATTTTCTAATTTTCCATAGAACATTTCCAATAGAAAAGTCCAGTGTACTGGACTTTAGGGGATTAAAAGTAGTTTTAAAATATTGGCTCCCTTGCCAATCTTTTTCTGATTTTCTTATCGGTCTTGAACTGTCTGCCATTAAACCAATAATACTTTTTATACTAGATTCTTATTTCTATGTCTTTTAAAGATGCTGGAAGACAAAAATCTACTTTCCCCCTAAAGCCCTATATCAGATCCAAGAATTGATAAGCATCGTTGTTTGTAACATAATCACTAAAAAACATGTGGCTTAAGTGCTGTGGTTCTTTTGTTTGTTTGTTTTGTGTCTTTTATCCCCACCATTGTTGGGAATCAACATTATCTTGCCCCTGTTACAGATGAGCAACTTCCTATGTGACTCAGCAGAGCTAGCATTCACATCTCTACAGTCTGACACCACAGCTTGCTTCATCTTTAGTACAATCATGAGCCAGGATTACCTTGTACTGATTCAGTAGCTAACACCTTCTTTCTAGATCAATGAATAAACAGCCAAATGGGCAGAATCTTTAGAAGGTAATTCCAATATTGTTGTTCTTAAGCGCCATCAAGTCAACTAAGACTTTTGATTTTGTTTTTAGGTGCCCTTGGGTCAAGTACGACATAGTGACCCGATGAACATTAGATCTGAACTCTATCCTATCCTGTCCCATCCTCACAATCTTTTATAGTGATTCTATAAACATTGGATCTATAAACATTGTCCTATCCTACGTCATCCTTATGATCTCTACTATGCTTGAGCTCACTGCTAGACACTATGTCTTTCGACCTTGTTGATGGTCGTCCTCTGTACCCAGCACAAACGAGCGCCTTGGGCCACTGCATGATTGTTGGCTTTACTACTCTTAAGTACTATAGGCATGGTATGCGTTGAAGCTAAAATATGGCACTCGAGGGTTTTTTCAGAGACACTATTATCCCTTTATATGTATTTTTTCTAACCCAGTTTAATTTGTAGATTATAGCTTTAAAAGGCAGAAGCATCTGCTTTTATATCGGTCAGCTGGATATATACTAGAAAACTCTGCTTGTATAACCATTTTACAGTTATATTGTTTCAAATCTATGGCTATTGAGCTCCTAGAAATTGCTATGAAGTTTGGAAGCTGTTCTTCTAAATATATTATGATTCCAGAAGCAATGACTCATCTGAAATAGTTCCTATGACCTTTATCTTGAAATTAATTAGATGTTGGAATTATAGGACTCATCCTAAATCATTTCATGATTGACAAGTTAGAAAAAAGATTAGTTTTCTAAGATCTGGGCTTTTGAAAGAATTATTCTAACAAATACCTTCAAAATTAATCTTATAACAAATATCTTCAAAATTAAAGATATTTGATAGGAAATTTACATTTTTCTCAAATGAAAAAAATCTACTGCTTTGAATACAGAAATGAAAAACATAAAGGTGTATGTGAATAAAGCAATTTAAAATGCCCCCCATTGACATCAAATGCTTTCTGGCAGTCACATAGAATTCAAGATTGCTTTGATTTATTTGGGCAAATGATTAGCAGGCATTACTTTAAAGATTTGAAACTGGTAAAAATGTAGTCACAGCAAAATAAAACTTGATATATACACCAAAGACTGTTTGATTTGAGAGAAGAATCTCTGGAACATTGCAAATAGCATTTTATTATGTTTCTTTTGAAGAAGTAGGATGACTGAAATGAAATCTAGTTTCTAAACTTAATTATTGCCATTGACTGGTCCCAGGATTTAGCATAAGTTTCTTTTCTGGCAAAGTGATGGCAAAATAATTTTTCTTTTAGAAGATGAGAGACAGATAATTGCAGAATATATTTTATTCTGTTTAGATCCTGAGGAGTTTGCTTTCAAAGCACTTTGAGGTCACTTGCAATTTGGTAGAAGAATACATTTTGTTTCACAAAATAAAATCTATAAAAAAGTTCTACATTTTGCTTTTGCTTATTTTGTTTTATTTTATATTTAGACTTTGGTTGGAATAAAAAAAAATGTTTTTCTTTAGCTTGGGTCATCTTGATTCCAAACGTCTCTATCTAGTTCCTCAAAGGACTTGTGAGTTTAAAACAAAGCAAAACAATATCTGACATGTCATGGTCTGTCTACTACCCAATATAAACATTTTATAAATTCTTCAGGGCTTTACATCATATCCTATATATTGCACAGGCTCCTATAATCTGGGAAATGCCAACATTTGGCTCCAGACAATTCTCAGCCCTGAGGTACAAGAGAAGTTTCAAAAGAAACTTTATACTGTGTGATAAATACTTTTAAGATGATTTCTATAAGTCTCTTTAAGTATTTTTGCATAAGAACTGTAGTCAGTTAACTTAGTTGTCACTCAAAGAGTGAGAAACTTCTCTGATTTATTTACAGCTTCTCTTTATTATTTTCATTTTTTATTTTATAGTGGTTTGCTTACAAAGTTCAAATACATTGTGTTTCACACTATCCTTCATTCACGTTGTGTTTCATACAGTCATTCTGATTCATTATGTTTCAGAAAATTAATCAACACTGACCTATGCCTACCATTGCACTCTCTTTCCAGAATCTTTCCCATTTCCTTTACCACCACCCTCTCAACCCACTAAATTGATTACTTCTTTAAAATGTGCACTATTGATTAATGAATTCTTTGGAGCTTCATATGCCATCGGAGCATAGACCTCAGATGCTAGAAAAACCATTTTCCAAGTCTCTGGTTTTGATCTGTGGGACTCTGGTGTCATAATATGGCTGCTAATCAAAAAACTGAGAGTCTCAGGCAGTTAACATCCACATATTTCTAAAGGAGGAAGATGAGTTGTTTTTGTTGTTAGGTGCTATCGAGCCAAATATGACTCACAGCAACCCTATGAACTACAGAATTGAATCTTGTCCTATCCCATGCCATCCTCGTCATCTTGGACACACATAGCCCGTTGCTGCTGTCTCTGTCTAAATCTATCTTGTGGGTCTTCCTCTCTTTCGGTGGTCCTCCACTTTTATAAGCATGGTGTCCCTTTCCAAGGCATGTGGAGAACCAGATGCTCCATAGAAGAAAGAGAGGCAACATCCTCCCATGCAATGAAATTGCCTCTGAAAACCTACTGGAGGGTCAGCTATAAGGGTGGTTCTGACCTAACAGTATGTAACAACAATAGCAATGTGCACAAAGTATGGGAGATGAAGCTTCACCATGTTTGCCTCCAAGAAGCACTCTGGCTGCACCCTGAAGATGGGTAATTTCCTCCTGTAGTGATTTAAAGCCTCAGAGACCTTAAGTATTGTGAAGGGTTGCTATAAGTCTGAACTGGCCCCAAAGCAGAGAGCACATGTGCATTTGAATGTTTCTGGTACAACAATGAAAGTTTCTGGATATAATAATATTGTATTGTGAACAACTATATACTGCAATTTAATAATTATAAGTTATGCATCAGAGAGTTGGACAATGACCAGGGAGGATAGAAGGAGAATTGATGCCTTTGAGCTGTGGTGCTGGAGAAGAGTATTGAGAATACCATGGACTGCTAGGAAAACAAACAGATTTGTCCTGCAAAGGGTTAAACTGGGTGGCTCCTTGGAGGCAAAGATTCTGAGACTCCGTCTAACATACTTTGGACATGTTGTGAGGAGGGACTGGTCCCTGGAGAGGGATATCATGCTTGGGAGGGTGGAGGGACAGCGCAGGAGAGGAAGGCCCTCTATGAGGTGGATTGATTCAGTGACTGGGATAATTGGGATGGGAGTGTCAGAGACAGTGCGATTGGCACAGGACAGAGCAGAGTTTAGGGCTGTTGTACATAGGGTCGCTATGAGTAGCAAGTGACTCGACGGCACATAACAAGAAAACAACAACACAACAAGTTAAAAAACAGATTGATGTCTCCTTAGATGCAGTACACTAATGAGTTATATATATTTACATATGTGTGTGTCTATCTAGTCACACTTATATGCTTTTGCTTTGTGTATGCCTGTGTAGGAAGCAGTGGTAAGATAACCAGCTCAGATTAGAGTACAAAATTGGCCTCGGAGATCTGCCAATAAAGCGCATAGATAATAATTGTTTAGAAACGACAACACCAATTCAATGTAATTGCTTGATTCAGCTTGCTCACCACAATTTGTGATATAATTTTTAATTTATGGGGTCTAATGGATAAGGCTCTCAACACCCTTGGCACCAGCTGTCAGGACATCAGGAGACATATTACACTGCGAAAGCTTGCAGTCAGGCTCTCCAAATTATCTAGGAGCAATGATGTCAGTTTGAGGACTAAGGTGTATCTGATTCAGGGCATAGTCTTTCCAATCACTTGTTATGCATCTGAGAGCTGGACAATGAATAAGGATGACAGAAGAAGAATTGATGCCTTTGAGCTGTAATGTTGGAGAAGAGTACTGAACATCCCATGGTCTGCCAAAAGAACAAAAAAATATGTTTTGGAGAAAGTGCAGCCTTTTTACGTTGGAGGTAAAGATGACAAAGCTTTGCCTCACATACTTCAGCTATGTTGCTAGGAGAAGCTATTCCTTGGAGAAGGACATCATACTTGGAAAGGGAGAGGGTCAGAAAAGGAGAGGAAGACTCTCAACTAGGTGGATTAACAAAGTAACTGTCACAATGGGCTCTTCTGTGTCATTGAGTCTGAGGATGGCACAGAGTAGGGCAGGATTCAGATCTGTTATTCAAAGGGTTGCTGTGGGTCTTACTTAACTCAACGGCACCAAACAACAACAATGAGTAAGAATTAGAATTTCTCGGAAACTTCAATATATTGGCTATTTAAAAGGCTGCATCAAAGTGACAGAAATGAACAAGTTTTCCCACATTAACATTTAGAATATAAAAATGCATTAAAAATGACTTTTTCTGGGAGTGCTGGTGGCCTAGTGGCAAGAAGCTGCACTGCAAAGCCCAAAGATGCACCATTCAAATCCAACAGATGTTCCACTGGAGAAGGAGGGCAATCTCCTTCTGTACCGGTCAGATCCAATTTGATAGTACACAACAAGAAAAAACAAAAAACTTTTTCACCTGTTAAATAATATGTTTTGAATGATCATCCTAGTCCATTTCTATGTATGGTAGCTTGGGACTGAAAGTGAAAGAGGTCACTCTTTGTAATCCGCCTGGGACTGAGTATGAAACCAGAACCTTGGATCCTTGGCTCATGAGACACTCTGCTCTACGATCAAGCTACACCTCCAGGCCCCAGTCTTTGTAATCTGCACAATGAGATTATTTCTTGTAAACTTTTGTTTAAAGGCAATTTCAGGTATTTCTTTTCTAGTGGATTGTTCAGTTACTGAAAGAACCTGAGAAGCAATTAAAGACTGGACCCTCTCACAGGGACACCTAACTGGTTCCTCATCCAGCCCTGTTGGCAGACCAGTCTTTAGAAATCTATGTTGGGTAGGAGGCTCATAGAGTGGTGTTTGAGAACTTTAAAAAAAATAATAGCTTCATTTAAAAGAAATATATGAAATTTGTCTACATTTTTCTTCTCCTCCCCCCATTCCTACTAAGTTGACTGTAACTCATGGTCATGAAGACATTTGCATCTACATTATTGGACTACAACAGGAGGTGATAAACATCCATTTCAGAGGCTTCCGTTTGTCACTCCGTAGCCCAGATTTAAAGATCTCTGAGGCAGGTGCATTTTTGCAAGAGCCCCACATTCTATTTGCTTATCACGAGAGAAGCTTCTGTCAAGGTTACAGGATGGGCTTCATTTTGTTTCTTTTTAAAACTTCACTTTAATAACCTGCTTTACTTCTGATGATTATTAACTTTGAAAGAAGTAGTTCATAGTTATTGTTTTCAGTTATCTTTACCTAGGGACTGAGAAATGGTATAGTATTAACTAGATAAAAGGAAAGAACTCTTTTTTCAGGAGGCTGAAATAGCAAAGATCGCAGTAAGGCATTCTCTAGAAAAAAAGATCTTGTTTATGAATATTAAGAGCCTGCTTTAGCCAATTGTAAGACCTTTACTCAAGGGGATGGCTAGTTAGTTATAACTGTGAAAGCACTCTACACCAGAGGACTTGGTATTAGAAAAAGAAACTGTCTTAAATCTAAATCAAAGATCCATGGTTTATTCAACTTATCTAAACTCATTCTTTACCTTCCTAATGATAAACAAAATGGTTACCCATGGTGGACAGTGTTTTGTGGAGCTCCCCAATTAAAACAAGTTTGGAAGCAGAAGTGGCATCCACTTCTGTAAATAGCTTGCCTCCAGAAACCCTATGAACCTGGAGAAGGATGAAAGTCACACAAGTGTTGAGGACTTTCGTTCATAGGGTTGCTATGAGTTGCCTGCGACTACACAGCACTTAACAACAACAACAACAACAACCGAAACAAACTCAAAGCAACCCCTGTCATTAAGTGGATTCCTACTCAAAGATTTCCTTCGCTGTGTATCTTTATTGTGGTAATCTGTCCATCTTTCCCTGCAGAGCAACTGATGGATTCGAAACACTAAGCTTTTGCTTAGTTACCTGACATGGTATGCACTATGTCAACAGGGTCCTTTCCTAAGGATATAGCCTGTAGTTTAGAAGATTGACTTCCTATGACTTTTAATCACACATGTGAACTCTTCCTACAAGAGCAAGAAAGAGCATATATGGTTTGTCAGCAAATATTTACCAAAGTGGCCCCAGAAGAAGGCTTGTTTAACACAACTCAGAAACAATATGCACAATTTATTAAATAAGCATCAAGAAATCTTTGTCAGTTAATCAGGTAATTTTATAAAATTTCTACTTACTGTTGTCTAGTGAGCATAGGTAATCCCTCGCCTCTGTGACTGCAGTTCACATCCTTTCTTCCCTCTTCCCCTCCGCTCCCCTCTCTCTCAGAATGTTGCAGCACTTTGTGAATCCTTCCTGGGTGTTGCCCTATCCAGACTCTTTTATTCTTTCAATAAATCTCTTTCCTTTCAGTTTATCAGAAACTCCAGTTTGCTCTTTGGCACATTAATTATCTCCCTAGAAATACTTTGTATTCATAGATATTTGTGCTTTTTCCTAGAATAAAATAATTCTTACTTATGAGTATAGAATATGGAATACCAAATGGACTAGAAATAGAATATTAATCAGAATACAACCAGAATAAAAATGGAATATCAAATCCCAAATATAAAATTTTGAACATTAAACTCATGCTCAAGGTGGAACTTTACAATGGAGAGAAAGAAATAGTTGGGCTCAACATGAGGTAGAGGTTTTCGACACATATTTCAAAGCTGACATAAATATGCAAAGACAAATATAAGGCAGTAATATCAATCCATGTAGAGTATGCTTGTATAGCAAAAAAATATGGTCTAGAAGTTTCCACATGCTTTATCATCTTTAGATAATCACCTTCTTACAAAAGTTGCAATACTGAGCAAACTCTTTCTCAAAACACGGCACACAGTAATTGCCATTCTCTTTGGAAATTAAAGGCTTAGTTCCTATTGGCTGTCGACAACTCTCACACACAAAGCAAGTTTCATGCCAGTAGTTTCCCTTAAATTCCATTTTGCGAGAACCTGCATGGAAAAAAAAAAGAACCTGTTAGGACAAGTCAAGCATAATTGTACTACTTTTACACTATGATATGCCCAATTAATTTAAAAATCCATTTTCAAATTAAGGTGTTAAGTTGTGCTTGTGAGAAAATAGTGTGTTATCATTCAAAACAAATGTTAACAGAGTTTATCAGCCCTGATAATGGTGAATTACTATTATTTTGACAACTCTTTCAAGCCTGTATACGTATCATTTGAAGGCAGTTTCAGTAGAGACTCTGGGTTCACTCAGTTTTGATAAATTGAGCTATAATAATAATTACAGAGAAACTAGGAAGGCACCAACTCCTGAGATCTATGTTACACAATTATAGTTTAATAGAATATCTTCAAATCCATAATAAGAGAATAAGAGAGAAAGAATCATGGTCTTATGCTGCTGTCTGTTGAGATCAAGAAGAAAATAAAAATACAGAGAATTAGTATTTACCTAAAATGAATAATCTACATAGGTCTTTGTCTCACTTAAGAAAATAAATAACGGTGATTAATCCCAAGCCAGTTGGTGTCAAGCTACAAAATGAGAGTTGATCCCATCTCTCTATAGTGATAGCTTTTCTGTGACACCATTGTTTATGCCTAGGACAAGGTATTTAAAATATGTTTGGTGTATACATTTAGGGAGCTCTGGTGGCCCAGTGGTAAGGATAACTCCTTACCATCCCAAAGGCACACAGTTGAAATTCATCAGATGCTCCATGGGAGAAAGATGGACAATCTCCTCCCTTGTGATTAACTACCTCTTCAAACCTGCTGGAGGGTCAGCTATGGATTGGTTCTGACTCAAAGATAACACAACAACATATACATTTTGACTGTGGATAGATGATTTGATTCAGTAATGGGGTAATGGGGGTAGGGATATTGGAGAAATTGGCTTAAGAGAGGGCAGGATTCAGAGCTATTGTGCATTTAGGTCACTATGAGTCGCAGGTAACTCAACAGCACATGATGCCAACATGTGCATTTTATCTGTATTTGAACTACATATTTTCTACTGTTGATATATACATTTTATAATAGTTCTTATTTAGGGAACTGCACTGATATCGTTAGCCTGGGCTTGATTCGCTAACATAAATGGAGCACTTCTCTACTACTGAGAATCCTCCAGGGGCTCCTTGGGAGAAAGATGGGCCATCACCTGCTGGGTGATTGACAGCCTTGGGAATCCGCTGGAGGGTCACCTAGCTGGTACTGGTGCTGATTCGACAGCAGTAAGTAAGTGCAAAAGTGACTCTGATTCAAAATGTTTTGGTAAATCAGATTTCATAGAGATAGAATGGTCATAAAACACTTTTTTATATTTCTAAATTACACAAGGATGCTTTAGGCAGAATATTAAATGATCCAGGAAGTATTAAAAGAAGATTGAAGGAATATACTGAGTCATTGTTTCGAAAGGAATTGGCAGATACAGAAGAATTTAATGAAATAACATTTGAGCAAGAGCCTATGGTGATGAAGGAAGAAATTCAAGCTGCTTTGAAGGAAATAGCAAAAAATGGGGCCCCAGGAATAGATGGTATACCAATTGACAGATGCTGCCCTGGATGTGCTCACCAAGTTGTGCGAAGAAATCTGGAGAACAACTGCTTGGCCAACTGACTGGAAGAGATCTATATTTGTTCCCATTTTAAAGAAGGGTGACCTAACAGAGTGTGGAAACTACAGAACAATATTATTGATTTTACATGCAAGCAAGATTCTATTGAAGATTATCCAAAAACGAGTGGAACAGCACATCAGCAGAGAACTAACAGAAGTCCAGGCTGGGTTTCGAAGGGGTCTTGGTACTAGGGATATTGTAGCTGATGTTAGATGGATCTTAGCTGAAAGCAGGGAATACCAGAAGAATGTCTATCTGTGTTTCATTGATTATGCAAAAGCATTTCACTGTGTGGATCATAACAAACTGTGGCTGACTCTGAGAAGAATGGGAATCCCAGAACATTTAATCGTGCTAATGGGAAACCTATACTTGGACCAAGAGGCAGTCATCATATCAGAGCAGGGTAACATTGCCTGGTTCAAAACTGGGAAGGGTGTGTATGCCAGGGATGTGTCCCGTCTCCATACCTTTTCAACCTGTATGCAAAGCAGATTATCCGGGAGGCTGGGATCTATGAGGAGAAGTGTGGCATCAGGATTCCACATTGGTGGAAGATGTATTAACAATCTGCGTTATGCAGATGGTACAACCCTGCTTGCTGAAACTGAGGAGGACCTCATGCACTTGCTGCAGAGTGTCAAGGACTACAGCCTTCAGTATGGACTGAGGCTCAATGTCAAGACGACAAAGATTCTCACCACTGGACCAATTGGTAGCATCAGGATGGATGGCAAAGAGATTGAGATTGTTCACTGCTTCTGTTTGCTCGGCTCCACAGTCAACACTCTTGGCACAAGCAGCCAGGAAATAAAAAAAGTATTGTGATGGGAAAGACTGTGGTTAGGGACCTCTCTAAAGTACTCAAGAGCAACGGTGTCTCTCTGGAGACTAAGGTGTGCCTGATACAGGCCATGGTCTTTGCAATCACTTGTTACGCATCAGAGAGTTAGACAATGACTAGAGAGGATAGAAGGAGAATTGATACCTTTGAGCTTTGGTGCTCGAGAAGAGTATAGAATGTACCACGGACTGCCAAGAAAACAAACAGATTCATCCTGGAGAGGGTTAAGCCCAGCTACTCCTCAGAGGCAAGGATTCTGGGGCTTCATCAGATATACTTTGGACATGTTGTAAGGAGGGACAGGTCCTTGGAGAGGGACATTATGCTTGGGAGGGTGGAGGGACAGCACCAGAGGGGAAGACCCTCCATGATGTGGATTGATTCAGTGACTGAGGTAATCAGGATGGGTGTGTCAGAGGCAATGTGCTTGGCATAGGATAGAGCAGGGTTTAGGCCTGTTGTACATAGGTCGCTATGAATCGCAAACAACTCGACGGCACATAACAACAACCACAACACACTAAATGAGTTCACAAGGCAGAAACAAAAATGTTTTTACGAAACCAAGGTTTTGTTAGCTGCTACACTTGTCATGCTCTTGGTCTTTAGACCCATTGCTGTTTGGGTCGGGCGTGGAGAGCCCTGGGTCTTACCAGGCATGATGGTCTTCTTGCAGTGGAAGCACTTGGAGGAACACTCATTCGAATAGCACTCTGTGCACAGCAGGCGCTCGTCCTTGGCAACAAAAGGTTTTTCCACCAAAGAGTGATTGCATTTGGCACAGTTGAAGCATCCTCCATGCCAGTGCCTGCCTTTGTAACTAAGATCCTTTGAGACAGTAAATAAAAGTTAATTAAATGTGCTTGTGACAAAATAGGCGGCTTTTAAAGACAAAACGGACCACTCCTGGGACTTAGTGCCAGTAGATTGCTCTGGTAGCTTGCAGGGACATTGTTATTGAAGCTGTTTCCCATGGAGAGAAGACTCTCTCGGGTAATTAAAAGAGTCTGGGGTATTCTATTAAATTAAGAGTGTCTAGGGTGTTCGATTAAAACAAGCTTGGAAGCAGGAGTGGCATCCACTTCCAAAAAACCTTGGCTCTGGAAACTTTATGAACTTGGAGAAATGATGAAAGTTATACAAGTGTTCAGGGCTTTCATTCATGGGTCACTTTGAGTCATCTATGACACAATGGCACTTACCAATAACAACTACAACAAGGTGTTCTAGGTTGGACATTACAGGTCACTGGAAAAGAACTACTTCTTCAAATTTCTTCTATAAACTAATGCAGAGATTGTTCATTAAATTATTTTTATGTCTTGGTTTCAATATACTCTTAATGTTTGAGTCTATTAGACAGACAAAATCCAGAAGCTGCTTAATCAGAGCAAAGTCAAATGGAAATAAAAACAGAGTAATGGAAGGGAAAACTGTATAAGAACAAGCATTGTAGGAGAAACCTGGTGTGAATGGAGATGTGGTTGCTTTTGAAATCCGAAAACATGTACTCTGAACATTGGTACTCCTAATTACTTAGGTACATTTATGTTCTCATATTATTCTGTTATTGTTGCTACATTCTGTTGAGTATGATTCATAGTGACCCTAAGATCAACAGATATGAACTCTGTCCTATCCTGTGCTGTCCTCACAATTTCTGACACATCTGAGGCCATTGTTTCGGTCCTGTGTCAACCCACCTGGTGAGGGTCTTTCTCTCTTTCGCTGTCCCTCCACCTTCCCAAGTATGATGTCCCTCTTATTACTAAATATTTTAGTTGTTATTTGAAAAATAACTAAAGCTTCTTAAATAAACTAATATAATCATTGTAAGGATTAAAGCATATGTCACTGTGTTAAGCATGTTGTTAGAGCTTGATTGATGAGTAACTTTTAAGATCCTCTATTCAAGAGCACAACAATAGGAAGAATGTTAATTGTCAACATGAAAGGAAAAGAGGCATTTCAAAGCTTTTATCTCTTGCTCACATATAATAATTTCTTGAACTGTGCTGAGACCTACCTTAGAGTTTGATTCAATTGGTTCTTTGCACTCCTCACAGCAGTTAGAGAAGATGTGATCATAACATGAAACACAGTATAGATTGTCATCTTTTAAGACATACTTCTTTCCAAGCAGTGATGTTGTACAGTTTTGGCAACTAATTTGAGCAGCTGTCATTTTGGTTCAGTCCTGTGAATTAGAATTTATGTAAATAAAAATATGTTGCCTATTAAGGAAATTATAAAGCTTCAGGTTGCATGAATTTTTTTTTTTTTTAGAAAAGAGCCTCCAATTTAGGAAGACATGCTGTAGTGATGGTAACATTTGGAGTCATTTAGGACAGGTTACTCCTCCATGGTGATAATTCCCGTGTTTTCTGTTAATAAAATGGATGGAGCAAGCATGTGAACATATCTTGCATTCATCACGTATTAATATGGAAGTCAGTGACTATTAGATGCACATTGAAATAGGGAAACTTCACATCAAAGATGTAAATAAGAACTGTTGATAGACCATTCATGAACTGTCATCACTTACCATCTTGCTGGAATGTTCCAGAGGTGGCGTTCCATCAAAATAACAACACTTCTTTTCACTCTAACTTACATAGAAATCAGTCACCAAATGCATTGCCATTTTCTAGTTCATTATTTTAGGTTAATGAAGGTCCTGGAGCATACATATTTTGAATATTTATGCTGTTAACCTGAAGCTTGTTGTTTCCGACCTATCTAGTGATGGTAGAACAAAGGGCTGGTGACTTGTCACCGTAAAATTGATAGCCAAGAAAACACAATGGAGCAATTCTGCTCTGTGATGTGTGGAGTCACTATGAGTTAGAATGGACCCTACTCTTTTTGTTAACACTTCTATATTTGTTTTATTTTCATTTGTGAATTTCTTTTCTGCCAACAAAGAAAAATACAGTTATGAGCATAAAGTCACAAAGTCACAGTGGCTCCACTAGAGCGTGGTGTTTGTCACTCGCTACAGTAATTCGTGGTGTCACAACCTCCTCCCTGCCTTGCAGCTCCTCAGTGTAGCTCTTCCCTTTTCCATTGGTCAAGGTGAAAACCCTCTTCTTTGCCCAAAAGTGGGGTTTTTTTACCCCTACCCAGGGTGCCTGAAGAGGCTGTGGGGTAAAGGATACTGATGAGCTATCAAACTGGGTGACACTCATGGCCTTAGGTTTATCCAGGGGCCCCTCTACCTGATAGCGTCTAGGTATGTAGTCTGCACCCTCACACCCAACAAGTTCTGGAACTTCATACATATCTTAAGAGTTAAAATTATTTAAAAAATGATTGTTGAAAGTAACAATAAAAGCACCTTATGTTGACTCTTCCAGACTGACAACAGTGTCAGTGTAGAGACTAAGGTGCGCCTGATTCAGGACATAGTCTTCACAATTGCTTGCTCTGCATTAGAGAGCTGGGAAAGGACTAAAGATAACCAAAGAATCAATGCCTTTGAGTTGTGGTGCTGGAGAAAGGTATTGAACAGTAGACTGCTGAAAGAACAAACAGGCTTGTCTTGGAGAGGGTGAAAGCAGGTTGCTCTCTGAAGGCAGGATTTTGAAGTCCTGTCTTACATGCTTTAGGCATGATGCCAGGAATGATCAGTCCTTGGACATCATGCTTGGATGGGTGGAAGAACAATGCCAGAGAGGAAGATCCTATGATGTGATGGACTGACACAGTAACTGGGATAGTGGGGGTAGGTGTGTCAGAAACAGTGAGATTGGCTCAGGATAGGGTAGGGTTCAGAGCTTTTTCTTTTTTAAATTTTTTAAACTAATTTTAATCAAAGTTTACAGACTTCGGATTTCCATTCATTCCTTGTTGCACTTTTCTTCCTGCCCCCCCTCCCCCACAATTCGCTCTTCTCTTTGAAAAGTAAAAGAAAATTTCTTTCATTGTTACACAATCCCTCCCCCAAGTCCACTCACTCCTGTCATGAGCTATTGTTTATAAGGTCATTTTGAGTCACAGTCGACTCAACTGCACTTAAGAACAATTTCAATGATTCCCCAGTAGGTCTCAGGAGTCGACATACTGTTGTACTCATGTCTGCTGTTTCCTTACAATGAAAGGGTGTGAAGCAAACTCAGCAAGGAGGAAAGTCACAAGGAGCACTTTCCAGAGAAACTGGACATAAGCTTCCAAGGGTCTTGTTCCAATAGGATCACACAGCATGCATTTAATTACTTCAGCTTTTACCTGAAATGCTGAGCACCAAGGAAGGTCCTAGACATTACAGGCTCACTGTCTCAGAAACTTAATGAGGGTCTCCATAGGTCGTAATTGATTCTGCAACAGTAAGCTTGGTTTTGATCACACTGGCAAGGAAGCCCTGGTAGTGTAGTGGGCTGGTAATTGAAAGGTTGGCATTCAAACCTACCCACTTCTGCGTGAGAGAAAAAAACGAGGTAGTCAGCTCCTGTTAAGATCCACAGTCTCAGAGATGCCGGGCTTGGGTCAATCACAGCAGCACCCTCAGTCTAGCATGTACGAAAATCCCAGACTACCAAAGGCACAGCAAGTATTCAGCATTAATGGTCCCATTTGCACAATGTGCCACTCTGATCAGTTCTGGGTAGGAAGGGATCAACCCAACCCAGACCATTAGTTCATGAACCATTGCTTTCTAAACCAAACTGCCATTGGGTGTCTGAGTTGTAAATGTAAACAGGTGGAGCTGTGGGTGAATCTGAACCATTGACCATTCACTGACCAAAGACATATCTACCCCACCAGCTTCAACTTTACAATCAAATCTTTCTAAAAACAGAATTTGCTTTTTATTGTTTTTTAGGTGAGGGTTCTTCTTAATTGGTTATTCACGCATTGCTGCCTGGTCAGAAATGACTCGTAATTGGATCTCCAGTGGGCTCTTGGAGGCAGTAAATAGCACAATTACATGGGAGGATACTGTCCATCTCACTCCCACCAAACTACTGGTGCATGTGAACCACCAGAGAGTTGCAGCCTTTGGGTAAACAGTACAACTCTCTAAGGACTGCATCACCAGAGTTCGTGCAACTAGTAGTCAGATTTTTCTATAACATATACCCTCCCCCTGGGACTCCAGACATCCTACAGCTTCAGCTAACAAAAAGGCTAGTCATTTCAAAATATCTTTGTTTTGTTTAAGCCATTCTAATAATTTTATCCTAGGTACCCACTTGTTTCTTGGCATCTCCATTCAAATGTACCACACCAAGCTGGCTAACTAAAACTCTAGCAGGCAAGATTCAGTTCAAATACCTTGCTTTTATGACTGGTGCTGAGCTATTGATCAAATATGAAAGTGAAGATAAGATTATCAATGGTGATAAACAGAAGTCTCTTCAAGCTTTAACGTGAAACTAACTGTGATGGTTAAGGTTGTATGTCATTCTGGGTGCCTGTGATTTGCTGGTTTAACAGTTATGATGCAGCCATGCCCTTCAAGTGACCTGATAAAATGATTTCCTTCATGAAAACATGATCCTCTCAAAAATGAGATCTGTGATGAATAGCCAATTGGTTAAAAGTAAGTTTCTTCAGAAGCAACCTTGCATTGAATATGTATGGGCATCTGACAAAAACTTTCTTGCTTTTGCTCAATCTGGATCTTGCATCTGGCTCATCACATCCAGTTCTTTGGATATGAACCAATAACCTGTGATCTTACCTGCTGACCTTAGTTTTGTCATACTCATAGCTGAGCGTCAAGAAAAACTTCTCTCCAGAGGGTTGATCCCAGACCTAGGATTTAGCAGCCTCCAGTGTCTACAAGGGAAGTGAGCTATTTCCTTGAGATAAATACCTCTCTCTTTCTCTCCTTCTCACTAAGCTTCATTGATTTTGTTTCTCCAGAGAACACAGGATAAGACAACAACATATATTTTAAAAGTTAATAAAAGCAACAGCATCTTAGTCAATAAAAACTGGTAGAAAACATGAGGCCTAGGCCAGGAAAAGGATTTTGATTATTCTGTACATTTAGGAAAACATCAAAAGAACAAAGCCTATAGACTTCTAAAGGCATAGAATATTTATTCAACATACATATTAAGTAAGTATTGTGAATAAGACATTGAACATGATTTTCCCCCCTTTTATCATAGGTAGTACTATCAATTTTTCCCCTCAAAGTAGAATACTTAATCTCTTAATTTACTGAAATTTATAAAGAGTTTTGGGTATTTTTTAGTTCTTTAGAAATTTGTTTTTGAATTTTTAAAAAGTCACAAGATAAGATTTATTGTGATACTGTTTACACCATGGTTGATGATTGTATTTCCACTCTTGAAAAGTTATTCCTTTCATTTTTGCCTTTTCCTATTTTAGAAATGAAATTTCTAGATGAGCAGCTTGCTTCATACATGCCAGCCTTCAATATGGATTGAAGCTCAACATCAAGAAAACAAACATTCTCACCACTGGGACAATTGGCAACATCATAATAGACGAAGAAGAGATTGAGATTGCTAACAGCTTCATCTTACTTGGCTCCACAATCAGCACTATTGGTACCAGCAGCCAGAAAATCAAAAGACTATTTGGACTTAAAAAATCTGATGTTAGGGACCTCTATAGTGAGCCAAAAAGCAATGACATCAGTCTAGAGACTAAGGTGCACCTAATCCAGGCCATGATCCTCACAATTATTTGATATGCATTAGAGAGATGGACAATGACTAAGGATGAGAAGAAGAATTGATGACTTTGTGTTGCGGTGCTGAAGAAGAGTAATGAATATACCATGGGTTGCTAAGAGAACAAACAGCTCTGTCATGGACAGGGTGAAACCAGGCTGCCTTTTGGAGGCAAGGATTTTGAAGCTATGTCTCATATACTTTGGACATATTGCCAGGGTGAACTAGTCCTTGGAGAAAGACAACATGCTTGGAAGGGTGGAGGGATAGTGGAAGAGAGGAAGACCCTGAATGAGATGGATTGACTCAGTGACTAGGGTAATGAGGGTAGATGTGTCAGAGATAGTGAAATTAATTCAAGATAGAGCAGAATTCAGAGCTGTTGTACATAGGATCACTATGAATTGCAAGTGACTTGATGGCACATCACAATAACACCATACTGTTCTGCACTATTATGTGAAGAGAAAAAGACTGATTATGAGAAACATGTGAGTCTTTTCTTAGGAAAAATGAAAATCTGGACTAGCAA